CAGCCCCGCCCATTCTGCCCCTCCCCCAGCTCTGCCCCAGAGCCCAAGGAGGAAGGAGACGTTTTTTTTGACGGGCCTGACAACCTGATCCTCAGGAGTTTACTTAATCCTTAGTGTTTCTTGGTCTGTTTGTTTAAAATTGTTTCTGCCAAAGAGCACCCAGAGAAGAGGGTGGGAGGCTCCACACACAGCAGGCGCAGAGGCGCCGGTGAGACCCTGCAACGGGGGTGACTTCATCCTCAGGTGAAAGGCTCACCTGGGGGTAGACCCGCGTCCTGGCTGACACCTCCCTGCCCCTGCGCCTCGTCGGCCTCTGCTCCTACCCCTGCTCAGGTGTTTCCCACCCGAGGATCGCCAGCTCCTTCCAGGGGCAGCGACTGGGCAGACACCTCCAGGGTGTGGTGCTGACGTGAGCGCCACCTTCACGCACGAGCTAGCACCCGCTGGCACCCAGGGTTCAAGTTGTGGGCCCTGCCATCTGTGGTCCCTTTGCCCCCGCCCCCCCACGCCCACCGCGCTCCAGCCCCCAGCCCTGGGCTCTCAGGCTCTCTGTAACAGAAGGAGTTAGAAAGCGCCAGCGCTGTGGGGTGCCTTTCACCTGAGTCAGGAACAAACCTTAATAGTTTACTTTCATCGAGCACTTAAAGTTCATGCTCTTCTAGAAGAAATCGGTTTTATTATCATTTCATGAGGAGAATGCCTGAAGCCTTGCCCTGCTCCCTGGCAAGTCCTAAGAGGCTCTTCTTTATAGTAACGCCGCATTTTAAATCCACCTCGGACACTCAGGTGCAAGCCCTCCGCATCGCCAACCCTGGGAGAGAATACTGAGGGCGTCGGCAGTGCCAGGATGCCTCAAAGATCCCAGTGCGGCCGCCGGCCTCGGGGGGCTCCGGGCAGGGCCGAGGGCCGGGGGGCGTTTGGTGGGAGAAAGCCTCCCGAGGCCAGGGGCCTCCCCCGAGTGGGGTGGGGTGGGGTGGGCACACAGGAGGAGAAGCAGATGGGTCAGGCTGCTCAGGGCGCCGCCTGCCTCCGCGAGCTGCTTGCTCTCTGGCCCATCCCAGGGTGGGGGGGGGGGCCTGCCCCTCCCAGCCAGGGTGGCAAGGTCCCCAGGACTCCAGCCCATCTGAGGGGTCCTGCCGCCTGTCCCGCTCCCTGGAGGCCTGACCCAGGCCTTGGGGCAGCAACACTTCATTCACCAGCCCCTGTGCCCTGACCTTGGGGCCAGGCTACCTGTAGGGCCAGGGCCACCTCATGGAGGAGGACGGACCCGCTGCCTTGGCCCAGGTTGGCTGAGCGCGCTGGCCATGTGGCTCCAGGAGGGGCTGCTCTGTGGCCGGGGGTCCCGTTGGGCCGGGGCAAGGCTGCTTCGGAGTGCTGAGGCCTGGCTCCCATGGATGACTCAGCTGCTGGGAGCACCCAGCCCGGCCGGGTCTGTGGGAGGTGGGCCGGCCCCGGCGCTCAGCTTGAGCCTGTGCAGCTGGTTCTGGCTCTTTCTACGAGGTTACGGAAGTCTTGAATTTGCCTCAGTTTGGGTGTAGGAGCACCACACTACCGCAGCTAATTAAACCCCAGAATGAAAACATGTTTTACTGCTTTTCCTACTGAGTCCAACAAGCCACAGGGAGTGTTGTGGGGCCTGTGCCCCTGGGGTGGGGCGCCACTGCCTCTGCAGGCCCCTGCCTCCTGGAGTGGGGGTGACGGTCTCAGTGCATACGAGCTCCTGGTGGATGTGGGGGGCACTTCGCATGTGGGGCAGTGCGTGGAACCCAGGACAGTGGGCTGGCCTCGTGCAGCATCCTGTGTCCCAGGCCCTTGTCCCCTTGAGGCTTCTCCGAGGGGTGCCTCAGGGCCAGTGCCCCTTCTCTGGGCTGGGCACAGAGCCCGCCCTCATAATCCTGAGCCCTGCGCCCTGGGCCCAGCCTTATCCTGAGTCTCACTTGGAAACTGGCCCTCCCTGCTCGTCCACCGTGTGTGGGTCTGCTGGGGTCCACCTGGGCCCAGAAGACCTTGGGGCAGCTAAGGAGGGGGCAGCTTGGGAGTTCTGCCCTGAATGTCCATCTGCTCACCCCTGCACTCCAGGGAGTCTGAGAGGCAGCTGAAGTTGGAGCCCCCTGGGAGCTGCCCCCCCCAAAGCCTCTGTGGGCCCTGCCCTGCTGCCCCCCACTGCAGCGCCCAGAGGGAGCCCTGTGGTCACAGCACCACCCACCTGGCTGAGGCCTGGGCTTGGCCCCCTGCCTCCTCTCAGGCCCCACGGGAAAGCTGCTTGCCCCACCAGGGCCTGTGAAGCTCCAATAATGGCTTTAATTTGTTGAACTTGTGTTTTATCCCATAAATTAGTCACTGTTTTATTTAACAGAATCGAGATATCCACAAACAATAGGCGAGTTCCAACTTGAACATTTTAATAAGACAGAAAAAAGTATATATTTTTGCGTCTGTTACAAACATATTTATGTAAATAGCCTGTGGGCTGTGTTCCAGGAGAAAAGAAGGGAAGGGCCCTCTGTGCTGGGCTGGGTGAGAAGGAGCTTTCGTGGTAAAAGTGACGTTGAGCAGGGAGAGGTGCAGACCCCGAGGGAGAGGTGCCCAGCCAGAGGAGGGGCCGTGGCACCCGGCTGGGCACTGTGGGACTTCGGGAAGTCCCAGGAAAGGGCTGTGCTCATGGCAGGGGTGCGACCTCCAGTGAGAAGCTCCTCAAAGTGGAGGAACTTGGTGGGCCCCACCTGTCCCCTCCCCAAGATCCTGGGACATCTGGCCACCTGGAAGGAGGTCAGCTCAGGGCAAGGCGGGCAAGATGGCGAAGGTGACGATAGGTTTAATGGGAAGCAGCTCATCACTGACAAGTGTCAGGGTCAATGAGGCGTGAGGCCTGCATGCTGGGCGAGGCTTGGTGGGAGTGCTGCCACCACCCACGCTTCTGGGGGTGCCACCAGGGCCAGCAGCTCAAGCCTGGGGCCAGTGGCTACAGACCCAGGAATTGGCCCCCTTTGGCTCTGCCCCCACGTGCTCCAGGCAGGAGCTGGGCCAGCATCCGGATTGGATCCGGGTACACGCCGTTCCCAGCCGGGCAGGTCTCTGCAGGAAGGAGGAAGGAGCCGAGGGAGGAGGCAGAGGGCTGACCCTGCCAAGTGCTCCTGCCCAGTAGCCCTGGCTCCTAGGGGAGGGGGCTGGCCAGGTGGGGGGCCCGGGGAGCCGGGGAGCCTTGGCTGGAGGTCGGAGGCTTCATGCCAATTGCCTCTGCCCCACAGGTGGCTCCTGAGTCCCATGTGGGGCCTTCAGGCAAGACTGGGGGAGGAGGCCGCCCTTTGGCCGGGCAAGCCCAAGCCCCCCACCATCTGTCCTCAGCCACCTGGGAGAACTTGGCCGGATCCCAGGGGCCACACAGGTCTTCTCCCTTCCCTGCAAGGGTCGAAGGGTCACCGACTCCCTCCTGCCCTCCCCTCCCTGCCCTGGCACATGGAACCTGGCCGTGGTTATGGGTCACCGCCAGCTGCTTGGGGCTGATTTTAAAAATAAAAGATAACTTGATAGATTTTTTTCCAGTTTTTATTGAGTGAAAATGTCAAACCTTGCATCAGTCATGCAAAAAAAAATCAAATAAATAAAACACATATATTAAATTTCTAATAGCACTAAATTCAAGTGGAAAAATATTCAGTTCTTAATAACCAGGTGCCGAGGAGACCAGATTCAAGTAATCAGAGCACACACGCTGTTCAGTTCGGTTCTCACGTTCTGCATTTGTCGTCTCAAAACCTCTCTATATATCTCTATATATCTATATATGTATATACATATAGATATATACACACATATGTGCATACATATTATTTTATATTTATATATATACACATACATAGTTATAAAACATTAAAAAGAGCATTGGTGGATCAAGCATTGTTTTCCCCACAGAAAGAAAATAAAACAAAAATTACACATTAAAATTCAAAATGAGCTAGCAATGGCTTATAGTCCTAGTGTGCAATATGAAGTTGCAAAAGGCTAGACTTCGCACTGTCGGCGTCTTCTTTTTTCTTTCTTTCTTTTTTTTTTGTTTTGTTTGATTTTGCTACATTGAAAAATGTTTGTTTTTGTTTTTTTCCTTTACAAAACTCCTTGCACAGACTCACCGGTTCTGTGGTTGGGCACAAAGTCTGGGCGAATGCTCAGCAGCAGCACGTGGTGCCCACAAAAGTTCAGGAGGCTCTGGTGGGGGCTGTTTTAGAAAACCATGTTTCCTGCTGAATCAGGTACACTCCATCTGACCACTCCTCCCGCCTTGCTCCCTCTCCAGTTCAGGTGGTCCTGGCTTTCTGGCTGTGGGCAGCCAAGAGGACAAAAAAAAAAAAAAAAGAGAAAAAGGAAACCACTGGCCCCCCAGCTGGGCAGGGCTCCCCTTGGAGACCTGTGGGAAGGAGGCTCTGGGTGACAGACCCTCCCCAGGCTGGGCCTTGCTCTCTCCCTGTGGAGTCTCAGGGTCCAACCGGAGACCCACTGGTGGCCTGAAGTGGAGAGAAGGAAACAGGCGGGGCCTTGGGCCGGCTGGCTGCCTGCCCTGGGTCCCTGTCACCCTCAGCGCCACTAGCCTGGCTTGTGCCTGTCAGGTGGGGCCCCTCTTCTCCGGGCTTGGTGACCTCATCATCTCCAGGAAGGGGGGATGTTTAGAAAAGGGAGCCAAATCTGGGTGGGTTGCACCAGCAAAGAAGCATCCCCAACAAAATAATAAAACAAACTGGGGGGTGGGAAAAGCCCTATAAAGCCACACGCATAACCAATGAGAAAAACTCAAATGTTAAATTAACTACAAACTTGTATCAACAATAATAGTCCTTTTCTCTTGTCTCTACAAAATTCAAGTTAAAAGTTGGAATCACACAGCTTCCCCATCAGTGCTAGTGTAAAGACAGCGGCCTCAGACTGGTGAGGCCTCTACAATAAACGCTAACCAGAACCCCACGTGAGCAACTGCGCCCGGGTCTCCAACCTCAGGGCTGGTCCGGAGGCGGGTCTGCGCTCTTACGGCCCGCCCGCTTTTTTTTTTCTTTTTGTTCTGTGTAGAATAATAACCTTGACAGGAAAAATACTGTACAACTTTCTCGCATTTTTTCCATGTTGATTAAAGCCCCAAACAGCGGCCTCCTTCCTGTTCCCAGCACCTGGGTGGCTGAGACCCTCGCGGAGCCCAGCGCTCCAGCGCGGGCTGCTCTTCGTTTGTGAAGGAACGCAGCCTCCTGTCACCGGGCCAGGCTGGCGCCTGGCAGTCACCAAGCAGGCCCAGGGGCGCCCCTTCCGGGCCCCAGCCCTCGGGAGCAGATACCAGGCCCAGGCCCTGCAGCGGGGGCGAAGTGACCGCGGAGCTCCCGGCTCTGCTAATTCCATGAGGTTTCCTCCGCGGTCCCTGTAGTGTCACCCGTGCGGACGCCGTCTGCCCCGCCCTCCCCCAGGGCCGGGAGGGAGGGCCTTAGCTGCGCGAGTGCGAGGCCAGGCCAGATGCCGCAGGTGCCGGCCCGCCCCTGGTGGTTAGGGGTGGGGGTCGCAGAGACCCCCCCGCGCCTGTCCCCGTCCTGAGCAATGAAGAATCCCACCGGCGCGGGCGTGGGTCCCGGGGTCCGGCCGCGGGGAGGGGCACTTGCGGCAGCTGCCCGGGGGCTGAGCCCGCTTCGCCCTCGGGGACCCCGGCTCCCCGCTCCCACCCCGGACAAGAGCACCTTCTATTTCCCTGAAGATCCCGAACTGCAGCTAGAAAGGGGCGCTCGGCAGGCAGCCTGTCCTTCCAGCCGCGGAGCTGCGCGGGCGGCGGGCGCGGGGGCGGCCCGGAGCACCAGAGGGGGCCCCGCCTCTGCCCTGAGACGGACTCGGGGTCCGGAAGCACCGGCGGGGTGGCGGGGGGCCCGAGCCCGGAGCGCCTCCCGACGCCGCAACCACCGCGAACATCTAGCTCTGTACAGAGGGAAGCTTGACGTATAAATACCATGTCTTACAAAATTAATAATAACAATAATAAAACACAGGGGCGAGCCCCCGGGGCGCGCGGCCGGCCCCCCACCCTGCCCCGCAGCTAGGGCGACGCGGCCGAGGGCGCAGCGGATGCGGTGGCGCCGAGGGCCGCCAGCTCCGGGCTCCGCGACCCCGGCCCCTGCTCGGGCAGCGACTCCTCCGAGTCGGTGCGCAGGTCCTCGTCGTCGTCGTCGTCGTCGTCCTCGTCGTCGTCGTCGTCCTCGTCGTCGTCGTCGTCGTCCTCGTCCGCCTCCTCCTCGTTCAGCTCCAGCTCCTCCTCCTCGTCCTCCTGCGACGACTCGCCGGCCGCGGGGCCAGGGGCGGGCGCGGCGGGGCCGTCGCCGGGCGCGGGGCCCTCGGCGCCGGGCTCGCCGCGCTCCTGCTTCTCGTGCTTGCGCTTGTGCGAGTCCATCTGGGACATGCCCACGACCGTGTGGCGGCAGCCCGGGTAGGTGCAGTGGAAGTGCGAGCACTTGAGCTTGTACTTGCAGTCGGGCACGGCGCAGTCGGCGCTCGAGCTGAACTGGCAGAAGCCGGCCGCGCTGATCACGTCCTGCTTGCCGTGGTGCTTGCGGTGCGCCGTGACCTTGGTGCTGTCTGTGCAGCGGAAGCGGCAGCGGAGGCAGTGGAAGTGCGTGCTGGTGCCCGAGAAGGGGCAGTCGGCGAAGTGGCAGCTGAGCGAGGCCTTGAAGCGCTTGAAGTCGTCCAGCACGAGGTTGTCCACGCGGTCGTGGTGCTGTGCGTGCTTGTACATGTGCGTGCGCCCGCAGAACTTGTAGCCGCAGTTCTCGCGCGTGCAGTGGTAGTGGGTGACCTTGAGCGAGAACTGGCAGGCCGCGTCCTTGCAGTCCTCGTAGAGGTCGAAGCGCCGGAAGCCCTCCAGCATCATGCCTTCGTCCAGCATCTTGCGCGAGGACGCGGTCTTGCGCCGCTTCCCAAACGGCGACATGTCCTCAATGATCCAGAAACGCTTTTTGGCCCCCGAGGCTGTCGGCATGGAGATGGTGTTCCCTGGGGAGGGACAGGGGAGGTCAGTGCCCCTGTGTGCACCGCTCCCAGGATCCCACCCACCAGGGTCCCCGAATCTGGCATGGTGGCCCTATAAAAAGATAAAAAAACTCCTTATCTTCCTTTGGCTCTGGGGGCCTCTCCCACTACCTGGTCCCCCAGAATAGTGGGGGAACCCCAGGCTTCCCCTTGCGTCACCCATGTCTGCAGGGTGACCGCACATGCGTCTGCCTGCCCTGGGTGGCAGGTGGCAGAGGGAACAGCTCCGGGGCATGTGGTGGCTGCTTCCCGGCCAGTTTGGGTGGGAAGTGAGGACGCATCTCGGCGCTAACTGAAGCCGAAGGGGGAGTCCAGGTTGGCAGCGCGTAATTACCACGGTGGACAGGGGCCAGGACGCCATCACACACCCGCCTCTAGTGAGGGACAGGCCCACTCCTTCTGCCCGCTAACCAGTCCCCACCACCGCCTGTCTGCATGTGGGACCAGCCTGCCCTGCAAGATGCGGTGCCAACCGCCCTGGGGCTGTGTGGGGCTGTAACTCCCTGCCCTGAGATACACCGTCTTCTTGGTACCAGAAGGTTCTTTAAGGTCTTGTTGGGGTTTTCTGCGCCCATGAGCAGGGAGAGGGAAGCTCTGCTGAGGGGCTGGGACTGGAGCAGGGGCTCAGGTAGTGGATAGGTGCCCATCTGTGCCCACCGCCCTCCCCGGCCTCGACTGCTGCCCTGGACTCAGGATGCCCCATTGTCAGGGCTGCATGATCAACTGTGTGGCTGTGCTTCTGTCAGCCCCTTCCTGGGAGGCAGAGCAGCCCCTCCAGCTGCAGGGTGAGGGGAGACCAGCCCCTGGGGCTGTACAGTCAGCGAGGTGGCAGGCAGTGGTCCTGGCACTCCCTGCCCCAGGCCCCACAAACAACAGAGAAGCCCCAGGTCTAGCCCTACCCAGCGCCAGGCAGGTGGGGGGCATCCTGCAGCTCTTCCCACATGGCTGACCAGCTCGGCCTCCCAGAACCTGCCTAGGGCGCTGGCCTCCACCGCACCAACCTGCTGCAGTGTCCACTTGGGGAACAGACTCAGTTACCCATCCTTAGCAGGTGAAGAGACGAGAGAGGGTCTGGGGCCTGGAGATCTAGAGGAGTGGCTGCTTCGGGTCAGGTCACAGGGCTCGGTCTGGTTATGCCAGCGAGAGCTTTTCATGGGCTGAGTTCCACAAGGGGGGACCCCCTGCCCTGCTCTCTGCCAAACCCCGGGGACTGGGCACAGTGCCTGGCACTCAGGCAGAATGAATGGAGGGAGAGGGATAGCCCGGTGACAAGTACACCATGGGGGTGGGGAGGGCAGGTCCCATCTCTGCGGGGCAGCGTGTATGTGGTGGGCTGGGAGGCACATCTGCCATTGCGCACTTCGTGGGGCCTGGGCCACAGTCTCCCTCTTCCTGCTTGGCTCCCGGGGTGGGGGCTCAGGCTGGTGTCAGGACCCTCGGAACCCAGGCAGGTCCCAGGCGCCAGCAGCCTTCCCCAGAACACCTATCTGCCCCTCCCTGGTGTCGGGTCCCAGGTGAACTCCGCAGAAGGCTCTGCAGCCAGGCTCTGTCTGGCTGCCGGAATCTGACGGTGGGGCAGGCACAGCCATCTTGGGGCTCTGGCCAACTGCTGAGATGGGGCGAACCCCAGGGAACCCCGGCGGCGACATTCTGGCCTGCTCAATGCTGAGCAGGGGCCGAGAGGGGCAGACTCTGGGACAGAGACCAGGCTCTCCAGTCTTAAGGGTGCTAGGCTGTGCGGGCTGCAGAGCGGCCCTGTCCTTGGCCCGGAAGGCCACAGAACAGCGTCCGGTCCTGCACCACAGCCTTGAGGTTCAGCTGGGATGGCAGACACTGGTGAGAAGGCACGTGTGAGTTACCTGCAGCGTCCTGAACTAGGGGGACGTCACTTTTTACTGGAGTTGGAGTGGCAGTGACGGGCGGGAAGCTGGGTGGGCTGCTGATGGGGCGGGCCAGGCCCCGGGCGGCTCCGAGAGTGGCACTGAGCAGAGAGTATGAGAGACAGGGCGGAGAAAAGAGGCATGGCAGGGAGGGGAGGGGCGCCCGGAGCACAGCCGGTGAGAAGGATGGGGTCAGTGGGGGCTGCGGAGCCACGCGGGCAGCCTCGTCACCAGCAGCAGCGGCGGGAGGAGGAGGAGGAGGAGGAGGAGCCGGGCAGCCTGGAGAGGGTGGAGAAAAGCAGAAAACAAAACAAAAAGAAGAAACCAACAAAGAAGAACCAAAATGAGAAACCCAATGGCAGAAGCAAGTATGATATGAAAATATGTGGACAGATGAGGAGCAGAGAAGTGCCACAAAGAAGAGCGGGGACAGAGAGGGGAGGGAGGCAGTGCGTGGAGCGGGCGCGGCTCGGCCAGGGCCTGCCATGGAGCCCAGCCTGGGTGGCGCCCTGCCCTGGGGCCCAAGGACCACGCTGGGGATGGTGGCGGGAGCGCCAGAACGGGTGCCAGGGTTGGGTGGGGGCCCCTCTGGCTGGGGCTGTGCTGCTTTATTCTATAACTCCCAGGGAGGACACGCCTGGGTCCTGTCCCAGAAGCTGAAACCGAGGGCAGAGTGCTGGGGAGGTGGGCAGGATGGCAGGAGGCGGCCTGCATCCCAGACCAGGTCGCTCTGCCGCACGCTGGCCTGTCTCCCTTTGAGGCCACTTGGCCGTGAACCTGTGCCAAGAGGGACTCAGCAGTGCTGGGCCTTGGGAGCAGGGCCCTGGCCCAGGCTGGAAGGTCCCAGGCCCCCGCCGCCCCTTCCTGGCCCGCCGCTCCCCCCGGCCCCCTGCCGCAGCTCACCTGCCGCGGTGCTCTCATTGCCCACAGGGGTGCTAGAGCAGCTCCGGTCCATGGTGGACGACTCCGAGGACACGGCTCCCGGGCTGCAGCCGGTGTAATCCATGTACTCGTCTGTCTCCGTGTCCATCAGGCTCGGGGGGCCCTGAAAAGAAGCGGGGAGCCCTGAGGAAGCTGGGCTGGGAGCCGTGCTGCCCACAGAGGGCAGGCTATCGCTTCGGGCGGCAGGGCCCACCACCTGGAAACAAGCGTGCGACAAGGGCGACGCCGTTTCGCCACCCTGGGTGGGGAGGGGGCGGCCTGTACCGGCCGGGCTCTCACCTGGGACGGGGGCACACGGTCGAAGTTCTTTCCCAGCATCCTCCGCATGTGCTTCCGGGCATGGGAGGTCATCTGGTGCTTGAGGAGGAAGGAGAACTGGCAGCCTTCCCGGATGCAGTGGAAGTGGCTGTTCACCTGGTTGTATTTGCAGCCTGTGGACACAGCCCGCCTGGCCGTGAGCCTCCCCCAGCTGGCCAAAGCTCAGGGTACCTACTGTGTGTCGGGCACTGTTCTGGGCACAGGAAAGTGTGGCCAACAAGGCAGATGGCAACCGGGGAAAGGGCTGTTCTCCCTTGGTGGCATTCCTATGGGGAGGGCTTGTACCCCACCCCAGTCCACCCCCAGGAAGTCGTAGGCCACCTGGCTGCCCAAAGCCTAGGTCTCCCCTCCGGCCTAGCAGAGGCATGTGACAATGGCAGGCTGCCCCCATCCCCTGCCTCGAACACTGGGAGGTCCACAGGATGCAGGGCAAGGGACCCTAATGGCCTGTCCAGTAGGTTAGCCAACTCCCAGCAAGCCACCTGTGCCCACATCTCCTCGGGAGAGCCTGGTGCTGCCAGCCCCCAGACCTTGTTTAGATGGCTGCAGGCTGGCTGGCCTTCTGCCCTACCCCCTCCCACCTCTGCTTTGCTCTGGGCTCAGAACAAACAGAACAGGAGGGATTGAAACAGTATCAGCAAAGGGCAGGTGAAGGCCTGTCTGTTGCCATGGCACCTGAGCTGGCGAGGTGTCCTATATCATCCCCCAGCTTTGTTTGGCTCCAGCTACCACCCAAAACACCCAAAGTTGAGTAAATAACAGCAACTGCAGAATACCCTGACACCTGTAAACTGAGCCCAGGAACAGCATAGGCCACCGAGTGTTGACATCTGTTGCCATGGTAATCAACCCTCTCCCAGGGCACGAATTCTTTTTGAATTAATTCTTGAAGGAAAGGTTTGTTTCCTTTCTCTCCTGGCAGTTGATTTTGAGTATCTCACCCTTCCCATATGGAAGGGCCAGTCTGCAGCAGGCAGTGGCCCCACCTCTGCTCCCCCAAGACCCTGCTGCCATGACCACCCAAGTCACAACAGCGCTGGCCTACAGCACAGGCGTCTCTGCCCAGCCTGCCTGGCTCCCCGCTGCCCTCCGGTCTCCGGCCCCTTCTTGGGCAGATTCCTGCCCCGTATCTACCCGCCTGTGCACATGAGGCTCCATTCTGAGGCAGCCTGCTGGTCCTGGAGCCCCCTCCCCACAGGCATCCCTAGGGCAAGCTCGGGGAGGCTCTTTTTCGGGGCTGGGATGGGGACAGCGTCCCTGCTGGGAGCCCAGAGTTAATTTGAGGCATCTGTCGCCAAGCTTGGGGCCATTGTGGCCTCCTCATCCCAGCCCAATGGCCACCTCCTTCTCACCCCTTCTCACCCCAAGATCACCCCAAGTCACAGATGCTCTGGGCTGAGTCCACAGTGTACCTGCTTGTCCCACCAGGTCCCCAGCACTGAGCACAGTGCTAGCCATAGCAGATGCCAAAAAACCTTAACTCTACCGCCACCGCCCCCCACAACCTCCTGCAATAGCATGGAGCCCAGCACATGGCTGTTCCTTAATAAATGTCTGCTGAATGAATGAATGAACAAATAAACAAACCACAGTCAATGGGGATAAAACCCTGTGGTTAAAGCCATGGAAAGAGATCCCAGGTCAGGGAATCTCAGGAGCTCCTAACACTTATGGAAAGCCCGCTTGAAAAGCAAAGGAAAGAGCCGAGTCTAAGCCTGGACACCCCACTGAGACCCAGGCATTCCCGCCGGGGTGGGCGCAGTGCTCCAAGTCACCCACACTCCTTCACCCACACTCCTTGGGCTCTTGGGTTTTGTCTGTTTTCCCAATTTGACAATGCCTGGCCTGTGATGTCTGTGACATTTTTGACAAAACGTGGAGCCTGGTGTGTGGGGTCAGGAGGTAGGTGCCAGGAGAGGTGATCCAGGCCACCAGGGCCTCAGGGGCCAGAGCCACAGCCCTGCCACCTGCCCCAAGTCCCTGTCCCCGGCACTGGCCTTCAGTACCTAGCCGGCCGCACTCCTCACGCTTCGTGAAGTACTTGAACCCATTGGCTGCCCGCCGCTCGGCTTTCTCGTGCTTCTTTATGTGCCACGGCAGCTTGGTGGTGATGTTGGTCACAAAGTAGCAGCCGGTCCGGAGACAGTGGTAGTGCCCGCGCATCCGGAACTCGCAGTGCTGCCGGGAGGAACAGGAGGGTCAGGAAGAGACAGGTGGCTTTTGTGAGCTCCCACCTACCCCGGGCCTCTGGGCTGTGGTAGGCCCCTTGCATATATGTTCTTCCATGCTCAGAATCAGAAAACACAATTAGGTAAAGACCTTTCACATGTTAAAAGGCGGTATTTCCCTTTTGTCATCTGACCGAAAGATCTTATCTGGAATTGTTGCCATCTCTGTCTAGTCCCACACCCACAGCAGACATCACTAAGCCATCCTGGCACTCTTCTCTGTATGCCGAAACCTACGCAGACATCACTAGTCTATCCCCACACTCTTCTCTGTACCTAGATCTAGGCTCAGACTCCTTCTCAAGGCACTCACCATAAAGGGGTTAGGTCTTTATGGTGAATCTGATCTACCCTTCCTGTCTGGGACATGGACAGTTCACTCTATCTGTCCAATGGGCCTATTTTAAAATCTAGGCCTCTCGGGAAAGAGACATAGCTAGTTCCAGGAGGCAGAATGATGCCAAGGGCACAGTGGCTGCCCAGCATATAGTCACCACTGAGGGTTAAGATGAAATGACAGACTTCACCAACCAAACACCAGTCTGAATCTCTGCCCAGGGGCCTTCAGGGCCCAGGGGCAGACACTGTCCTTTCCAGAGTCCGGAGGAGGCCAATCCGAAAAGGGTGTGAGAAACGGAGTTTCTGCCAGGAGGAGCTGGTCCTAGGTCCTGTACCTCCCTGCCCTTTGCGCCTCCCTGCCCCCACCCCTGCCCCCGCACTGACCTGGTTGGGACAGAGACACTGCAGGGAGTAGTAAGCAAACTGGTCTCGCACGTTCACCAGGTTGTTGTTGGGGTTGATGTGGTCCAGGCAGTGAGACTCGGCCTTGCCAGAGGTTTTGCAGACGTACTTGCAGTTCCCAAAGAGACAGTGGAAGTGGAACTTGTTGGCATACTTGCAGTCCGTCGCGAGGCAAGGATCGCTGGAATGAAACCACAGCCCAGAAGGTCATTGGCATTCCCGGTGCCCTCCCCGCCAATGTCCTGACATTTGCTCGTGTTGGGGTTGTGCTCCCCAGTCCCTGGGGGTGCAATCAAGAGGATTGGCGCCTGGGTTGCCCTCCTGCTCAACAGGATGATTCAGCCTAAGGAGACTACAGATCCCAGCATGCATTGCTGCCTTCTTTTTGGAGCTCTGCTGGTACATAAGGGATAACAGTATGCAGGCTGCCCAGAGCATTGCATGCTGGGACACGTAGTTTCCATGGCCACACCCCAGGATTATAGATAAGGATGGCTGTAATAACTTCTGGGATATGAAAATGAGGGATGGTGCTGCCAGCCCTGGCAGGATGCCAGGGAGAGCCTGGCTGGCATGGCACAGGCACCGCCCTGGATGTGGCTGACGGACAGGGTGCAGATGAGTGGGCAGGCCTACCAGGAAGCTTTGCTACCACGGGGCTTTGGCCAGTGGGAATGTGTCCCTTGTGTCAGGTCTTGCTGAGGCTCACAACTGCTGGGGCTCCCAGGGTCAGCTCGTGGCTTGGGGCACCCACCCACTCAGAGCACCTCACAAGCCAGCTGAGTGGCGGAGTAGGAGGGGAAGGGAGGAAGGCTGGGCTGAGCCCCCGTGGCTGGCTGGCCTGCCCTGTGAGTGGCAGCCCCTGCCCCAGAGCCCTGCTGCCCAGGCTGCCAGACAGGAATGGCGGATGCTGCGCCCCAGCCTTCTACCCTGGCTGGCAACACAGCTGCCCCCCCACATTGAACCCAGCGTGGGAACACTGACCAAGTCTGGGGAGCTAAGAGGGTTGCCACGCTGGGGAGGTGAATGGAGGAAGGGAAGCTGGGGAGGGATGGAGAGGAGTGTGGGTCCCCTGCCACACTGTGGGCCCGGGCCCAGCCCCAGGTGCTCAGAGAGGGAGGACAGCTGCCACTCAGGTGGTGTATGTTCACATCCAATTTATTACTTTTATTGAGAACAGGAAGCCGCACACATAAGGATACAGAGTCACCGTTCTCGCCGCAAGTAGCCACCACCATCCAGTGAGGAAGGTCCCTTCCACCCCTGAGAGCTCAGACCACTGTGCAGGTAGGTATGGGCCTGGCGAGGGGCCTCGTCCCCTCACACCCAACCCATGGCTTTGCTTGCCTTGTAGAGACTCAGCCATGGGTTGTGAGCTACAGAAGAGACCCACATGGAAACCTGGAGGGGGACGCAGCCTTTCTTGCCACACAAGGACCACCACTCCCAGCCCACCTGGGTCGATCCTTGCAGCATCACCACTGGCCCTCTGGAACAGTGGGCCACTGCCACCATCATCTCCCCCCACCCTGGCCGCCTGCTCCAGGAACAGGCAGTGAGGTCACAGCAGCAGCATCTTTGGCTAGAAGGACATCGCCTGATGACCGTGTCCCAGAGAGGCTGACGACAGCCAGGGCTAACTGCAGCCTGAGGAGCAGGGCCTCCGCAGCTGCCCTCGCTAGCACCTACTCCCGAGACACGCGGGGGACACGGGACACCCGGCTCATCGAGGGACTCACTTCTCCTGGAACTGGAGGAATCCGGGTTTGACCTGGGGCTTGGCGTTTTCTAGAGAAGTCGTTGCCAAGGGTGAAGTGGGCAGGTGAGGCACTGACGCTGGAATCTGAGGCATCTGGGGTATGGTGGAAGCCAGCTGCTTCCAGGCGAGCAGGGTAGGGGTGGAGGGCACAGCGGCTGGGCTGGGAGTGGGCCCCTCCAGAGAGGAAGCCGTGGCTGTGGTGACAGGAGGCGCAGGAGGGGATGAGGGGGCCAAGGAAGGTTTGGTCTCAGCGGCTGAGGCTGGGAAGGAAGCCTCTGTGTTTCCTTTTGCTGCCCCTCCCTCCGTCCGGAAGTGGAAGCTGCAAGAGGCAGAAGAGGGTGTCTCAGGTGGGGCTCGCAAGGGCTCTGGGCAGGTCCGCCCTTCCCTGCTGGGCACTCCTGACGGTGGTGGGCCCTGTCTGCCTGCCTCAGAAGCCTAGGGGCCCGGCGTCCCCATGTTGTCCCCAGTGTTAGTCATGACCCCACCAGCAGGGAAGGACTAAGAGCAAATTGTGCCCCCCAGTTCTGCGTGTGGACCCCTGGCTCAGCCCTAACTGCACCTCTCTATGTGTGACCCTTCTGATGTGTCTGTCCCTAGCTCCTTCCTACGCAGAAGGGGCTGGGGACATGAAGCCTTTCAGAACCTGCTCTGAAATGTAAAGGTGGGCCTCAGTATTCGGTGCTTTTGCAGACTTGCAGTGAGAGGAACCTGATCCCGGGCTTAGGGAGCAGTGAAGATCTGACTGGAATGTTTGCAAGTTCTGGGTTCAATTAGAATAGGCGGCTGGGCTTGCCACTGTTCAGCTCAATGGGTTTTACAAACTAATTCCATTGTTTTTAGGTCAAAGAAAATCTACAAGTGCAATATTTTGGCTAGGAAAGGCCTTCATTCACTGAGGGTCCCTGCCTGGGTCAGAGTTCGGTCTCTTCAGCCGGCTCTGCAGGGAGCATCTGTGGTAGGAGTGATGGCTGCACTGGGCCTGGGTGAGCTCAGAAGACCCGGCTGGGGGCTGAGCAGTTGGAATGACGGGAAGCCTGCCTTTTTTTCGGGCAGCACCTTCTAAGAAGACGCCAACTCAGCTTCTGAGGCCTAGTAGGAATGGCACACGGTCTTGCATGGAAGGCTGTGAGGGGCCTGTGCAGCGTCCAGCCCCACTCAGCCTAGAGCCAGGCTGGAATAAATGGGGCTGGGTTTCAATGGGCCCCCTCTAGGGACCCCAACTCACTTGGCATGCTTGATGGCCCCGTCCAGGGTGCTGAAAAGAGCGCCACACTCTTCCACCACGCAGTGGAAGTGGGCCTTGTGAAGGAAGTCACACTGAGCATCGCAGAAGTCCTTGGTACCAAACCTGACCAGAGGAACCGGCTGGTTAGAGGAGACCCTGGGGATCTGGCAAGCCCGGGCTGTGTGGCGGGGCTGGGCGCTGGCCACCAGGTCAGGCGGGCACGGCCACTCCCTCCCCTTTGATCTCCCAGCAAGCCCCTCACCTGCGAAGGTACACCTTCCAGGGCTCTGACAGTTTCTCCTGAGCCAGTGCCTTCACGGCCTTGCCCAGGAAGGGAGAGGACTCCATGGCGGGGCTCCCCTCTGCTTCCGTCTTGATGTTCAACAGGCTGCCGAGGTTGGGGTTGCCCTGAGACATCTGTGAGGAGGACAGGGGCCGTGCTTGGGCTGGGGGACCTCAGGACACCTGCCTGGCTGCCCTGGGAGCGCAGCAGATCTGGGCCACTCGGGCCTCTCACAGCCGACCAGAGCATGGCAGTGCTGGCAGCAGCGAGGGAAGGAGGCCTGGCCTCCCTCAGCTCTGACTGTAGAAGCGCCCTCTCTGAATGGACGCAGCCCCGGGCTTGGCCCCGTGGAGATGCCAGGCCTCCTGCACACAAACCCCGTGCTGCTAGGAGCCATCACTCAAGCGGAGGCCGAGACTGGGGGCGCACACTCCAGCCCAGCTTGCCCCAGACTTCTCGGCTCCCTGGTTATTTTCCTGCCAGGTTTTCAAAAGAAGTGCAGGAGGAGGAGGGATGGGGGGAACCCCTATGAATTCCTTGAGAACAAGAGAAAGCGCACAAAGGGAGAGCAGGGCGGGCGGCTCATGGGGTGAGATCAAGACAGCTGGATGCTGCTGGGCCAGGAGGGGGAGCAGGGAGGGGAAGCCGTGTAAAGGCAGGAAGGAAGGACAGGGGTGCAGGGGGCAGTGACCCAAGAAGGGAAAATGAGCATGAGAGTAAGCAGGCCTGGGAGGGAAGACGGGCAGGGGGTGCGCCGGGCAGAGGGCAGGGGGAGGCTGCTTCCCCGCCGAGGGCCCAGCCAGGCCCCCCACCCCGTGAGGTCCGGCCCAGGCCCAGCTTCCTCCTCAACAGTCACTTGTGTACCGTAACCAAATTAATCTTGCTGTAGTCAAATTTATCATGTGAAGGGGGAAAATATATTTGAGATGATGTATAATTTACAAAGACCCTGCATTATTTAAAATAAATATTCTGGAGCGACCTCTGTGGACGGCGTCCGAGACCATTACTCAACCCGAAAAGTGGAAATTGATGCTTTGCTCCCACTTGGGTGCCCCCTCCCCCACCCCTTTTTAAACAAACAAAAAGATACATAAAATAAATAAATAAATAAAATAAATAAGCGCAAAAGAAGTTAGAGGGCTCTGGAAAAGCTTTCGGAGCCCTCCATCTGAAGGGAAAAAAAGGGTGTCAGAGGCTGGAATATATTTCTTCAGCCAGTTCATTAAATTAATTTGTAAGCAGTGGCTCTGAAATTATATCCGATGAAAAATGGCCTCAAAATTTAAATGGTACAAACTCATCTTATTAGAGGCAAAACATTAAAAAACAAACACATCCCCCCACCCCCCAGCACAGCTTTAATTTCTCTGGGTGGGGGAATGGGAGGCGTGTGATGGATGGTTCTTACCTTATTCATAAGCGAGGATAAAAGAGATGAATTTGCCGGGACTGCGTGGCCATTTGATTCATTACTGGAACATACAAACCAAGGGGCTTTAGCTCAGACGTGTACGTGGGACTGAGCCCAGAGCATCACCCCTCCCCGTCCGGCCCTGGGGCTCCAGCCCGCCTGCTACATCTGCCTGGGCAGAGGGATGACCCCTTGCCAGGAGGGCTTGGCCTCTGACCCCTGTTGGCGGCTGGTTCTGAGGGTGCTGTACCCAGAGCGTCCTGCAGGGGAGCAGAGCTGGGAGGCCGCGGCCTCGCCTCACCTGGGCTCCTTCACAGTCAGGTCTAAACTGCGGTCCTGGGAGGCCTCCTGGGCACTTGGGGCGCCAGCATTCTCACCGGGCTCCTGCTTCACCGGGGCCAGGGGAAACCTAGTGGGGGTGGCCTGCTGCCCATTTCCTACAGGGGAGGGGAGGGAAGACGGTGTTAGAGCGGCCACGGGCTTCATATGGGCACAAACCGGGACCCCCAGAAGGGAGGGCAGCGGTCCGGGTGGGCTGGGGCCCCTGGGGAGTCCTGGCTGCTGGTCAGCGATTCTCCCCACTGACATGATTGCTTGTGACGCTTACCCCTGTGTGGCAATTCTTCAAGTGATAATTATTGCAAAATTATGTCAAAGTTGTCCAGGCTCAGGGCCTCCTGGAGGAGAAGGGCGGGGGGCTGGGCCGGGGGTGGGGGCCCTTCATTTTCTCCACCGACTGTCACAGTCAATTTGTGGGGCTGCCGCTTAGGCTTTTATTAAAGACTCTGTTAACGCTGAGGGAAAGTGGCAGATCTAGACTGGGAGCTGTGCCCCCTCCGCGGGTCCCCATCCCACTGTTGCCGGGGCGACAGCCCTGCCTTCCACTGAGCATGCCTAGGAGGGGCATCTGCTGGGTCAGGACTATGGAAGCTGACAGCCAATCAGGGTGGTTCAAACTATGTGACCCCACCCGTCAAGCTGTCCAGGGCAGGGATATGAGGCCCACCCTGGCCGGGCCAGGTGGGAGCTGTCGGGGTGTGGGCGTGGGGAAAAAGGCTGGAGTGGGGTGGGCAGAGGATTCAGGCCAAGCAGAGTTGGGGCAGAAGTTGCTGACAGGAACATGTCCACCGAGCCTTTCTCCACAATCCCCAAGTGACTGAAATATTAATCTGCCCCCAGGCGCTGCAGCTGACAGAGAGCTGCTTCACAGAGAGCAAGTGGCATTTTATTAAAAAATAAAGGAAAACGAGCCCCCTTCCTCTTTGCTTGACCTTTCTCTTGGGGGAAGGAGATTTTTCCAAATGAAAACAAAGTACTTGACAGTGTGGCCACTGAGCCCAGTGTAGTTCTGGGGGGCCCCGCCCCAGCTTGCAGTCACCTGGCCAGCGGGGTGTGGCCCCGTCCCCCCCAGGAATAGAAGGTGGTCACTCCAAGCTGCCAGCTGACAGGAGCGTCCCATTTGGGACATGATAGTTTTCAGAGCTCAGAGTGTCCACATTCCAGCAGCTCCCCGAAGTCACTTGCCCAAGGTCCCCAGAGAAACAAGGCCCAGCCCCCCTGCCAAGCACTGAGGCCCTCGGGAGGTCTGGGCCACAGGGACCCTCAATCTTGGCTGATCTCGAGACAGTCTCGCAGGGAAGCAGCCAGACTGCTGAGGTCCAAGTCTCAACTTCGCCACCTTCTAGCTAGGTGTCTGGGAACAGCCTATCCCCACACTGTCCCATCAGCTCCACAGGCGGGGCTTTTGTCTGTCTTCTTCCCTGCCACGTCCCCAGCACCGGCTCAGGGCTTGACCCTCAGCAAGCACCAGTGGTTGTCGAGTGAATGAATGAAGTGAGCCTTGAGCTGACTCTTCTCAAGGATTCAACTAATGCTAATTACCCAGAGGCGGGGAGCCCAAGGGAGAGGAGTGAGATAAAGAGAAAGGCCAAATGCCAGAGAAAAGGAGTAGAAAAAATTTCAGAAGGGCCGAAAACCTGAGAGAAAGGAGGACCGCCCCTAATGGGAGCCAGCGGGAGGACAGAGATGTGACTGGCTCCACAGCTCGCACCCAGCAGCCACTGGTGTGGCTAAAACGAAAGAAATTCCCATTGAATCCAGTTCTGTGGTTACACTAGCCAATTTCAAGCACTCATCAGCCACACGTGACAGTGCAGGACAGAATGTTTCTGTTGTTGCAAAAAGTTCTATGGGGCAGGATTGACCGGGAGGAAGGCCTGGGAAGGGCACCCCTGGACAAGGGGCTGTCCAGACATGAATCTCCCTGAGTGTCCCTGAATGCAGCCACCCGCCACTGGGCTGCACTCATGTCCCCTCCAGGTCACTTGGAGGAGGCCGTAGGGGAAACTGGGGCTCTGGGACTGCTCCCAACAGGGGCTGGACTTGTGATGTGGCAGGCTGAGAAGACCAGGGTAGGGGGCAGCTAGCAGCTGCCCTGGGAGCACAGGCTCCCCATGAGGCCAGGATTATCGCCCCCCCACTTCACAGATGAGGAGAGAGAAGCAAGAGCTGCCTGGGGTGCACAGGTTAGAATGAGGAGCCCCAAATAGAAACTAAGCAGGGTGGAGGCAGAGACAAGGCAAAGAGGAGGGGCTGGGGGGCAAGGGACTGGGGTGCATGGAGTAGCAAGATGCCGCAGCCAAACACCCCCCCACTCTGCTCTGCAGCCTGAGGCCAGGGAGCTCCCAGGGTCTGTAAGGGGCTTGCTGCCTAGGCAGGGCCCAGCCTGCTCACCTGGATCAAAGGTGGCAGAGGGCTTGAGGGCGGCCGCGGCCAGCCTGGCCATCATGGGCGAGATGAGGCCCTTGCTCGCAGAGATCCTTTCCATGATGGAGGCGGGGGGCACTGGGACAGAGGTGGCAGCCGCGGGGGCTGAGTCGCCAGCTCCAGAGGCAGCCAGAGCAGGCGTATCAGGGGTTGCTGAGGCTGCTGCCCCAGACGACATGGCACCCATGAGGCCAGGGGCACCCACAGGCAGCGAGGCGCTCCCGCGGCCTGGAAGGATGGGGAAGTAGGGTGCAGCGGTGGGCAGGCCTGAGTTGGAGAGGGCCAGCGCCAGGGGGATGGAGCCCGGCAGGCCCTGGGGCAGCAGCCCGGAGATCTTGCTGTTGGGAGGCTTGGTGGCACTGGGCACGGCCTCGGCGGTGGCGGCGGCCGTGGCCAGAGAGGCAGAGGACTGCTGGCTGGTGGGGGAGGCGCTGAGGCTGGAGTTCTTGCTGCTCAGGGCAGAGAAGTCCACCAGGTCGTCGTTGCTGGACTCCTCGTGCTCGGTGTCCTTGGCGCCCAGCAGCGAGGGCGGCAGGCCCAGCACGCCCGAGGAGCGGATGTGTCGGCGCTCGTGCTTGCGCTTGTGCGAGGTCATCTGGCTGGTGGAGGTGAAGGTGAAGCCGCAGCCGGCGCGGATGCAATGGAAGTGGTTGGTGGCCTTGCTGTACACACAGCCCTCGTACTTGCATTCCTCGTACTTGTAGAACTTCTTGAAGCCATCCTTGGCGTAGGCGTCGTCCTTGATGTGGTAGCTCTTGTGCTTCTCAATGTCACACTTGTTCTTGAAGGTGAACGTGCAGCCAGGACGCCTGGATGGGACACCGGGAGCTTGTCATGGGGCCTCATGGGGCCAAGAGGAGGCCCTGCTCCGCTCCCACCATGACCCCAGGAGGGCTGAGCCTCTGAGGGAAGACCAGGATGGACACTAAGGCGGGGCCTGTAAGCAGCCCTCCACTCCCGTTCCTACTCCCTCAAGGAGGCAGGGCCCTGAGCCATCCCTTGGGCCTGTTTCCCTGCCGTCTATCCCTGGCCGGCCTCCCAGGTACCTGCAGTGGAAGTGTGTGGTCTTCTGCCCGTAGAACTGGCAGTCGGCTGTGCCACAGTCCTCGGTGGCTCGGAAGCGCTGGAAGCCATCGTTGATGAGCTGGGTGTTCTTCTTGTGAAAGTTCTCGTGGGTCATCACATCTGACGTGCTTGTATACACCTTGTTACAGCCCACCTGCAGGGGCCAGAATGGCGGTCAGGGGAGCTGAGGCCAGGCACCTCCGGGCCAAGGTCAGAGCGGCTTGTTCTGCCGGGTCCTGCTGGGACCGAGGGGCCTTGGGCTCCTGCCCTCCCTGTCAGGGGAGCTTTTGCACCTGTTAACATCCAGCTAGGAGAACCGAGAAGGTTAACTTAGGAACCGCAGTATAAAACCTCTAAGACCCCTCAGGCCCCTAGGGCCTGGCCCTGCCCGTGCTCAGGGTCGGATTGTCTTCAGGGACCCTGGACACCTCCCAGCACTCGCATGGGAACCCCGTCCTATAGGAGGTGGGTTTGGAGTCCCAATCTGTGGCTCTACCTCTAAAGCCCCCAAGGGTGGGTAGGGCTGGACCCTGGGGCCTGGTGGTCACCTTTAGCCCAGGGACTCACTTAGTGGATGTTTCCTGGCACAGGGCCCTGCCCACCCACCCCAGCTGGGCCAAGGCAGGCAACGTTGCCATATTGAGTAAAAACCAGTGGAATCTGAACACTCTTGAAGGCTGGGCCGTGCCAGTGTCTGCACCATCTCAGAGCCCAGAGAGTGAGCCCCCCTCTCCTCCTGGCCCAGGTTGTTTCACGGAGGCCATAACAACCCCCTGACAAATGCCGGGGGAGGCACAGTGGCTGCTATTTGCAACCCAAAGTCGCTCCCCCTGGACCTGACACCTTGAAAAAGCCCAGACTCTGCGTGGCATTAAAACAAAGAATTAAACAAAAACCTCCTCAGGAACCATTTGCAATGCTGCTCTTGGTGTTAAAGCCTGAAAAATGTCGGTCTGTATAAACAGCTCGCTGAATTTCGCCCACACCAAGTATGGCCATGGGGAAGGCCCCACCTTGGCCCACCAGCCACTGCCCATGCCTCAGCCCTCAGGACTTTCCATTTGCTTGCCGTCCCTGTGCTGGGACAGGGGAGAGGGAGGCTTTGGTCAGTGAGGGCCCCTGTGCCGCAGCCCTGCGCCGGGGGTGGGGGTGGGGGTGGGGGTGAGGGCAGCACCTGCATGCAGTGGTAGTGGGTGCTCTTCCCGTTGAGGTGGCAGCCGTGGTAGTAGACGCTGCAGTCGTCCAGCGGGCTGAAGCGCATGAAGCCGTGCTGCAGGGAGTTGTCGCGCTTCTTGTGCATGTTGTAGTGCCGGATCACGTCCTGCTTGCTCGTGAACCTCTGCCGGGACACGCCAGGTTGGCAGGAGCCCGAGCCCGCCGCAGGGCCAAGAGCACCAGGGCCTGGCGCTGGCCCCAGGGCCCTCAGGTCTCCCTACAAACAACCCCGCTTGGGGTCGAGGCAGCCCAGACTGCCCCGAGGCCAGCACACTGGGCCTTGGAAGGAACAAATCCCTAAGTTGCAGACCCACAGACCCTCCCCTGACCTCACCCCCCACCCCCAGGCTCCCACTAGTCATGCCCAGGAGCAGAAAGGGTGACTTGGACCAGCAACTCTTTAAGGTAGAGGCTCTGATAGTGACAACTCATTTCACCCAGTGCCACCTATGGGCTATGCCAGACTGGGCTCCCTGCAAGACCGAGGGAGCAGCCCCTGGGCAGACTGCCTGCACTCCCATCTCATTCACTAGTCCTGCGCTCACCAGGGGGTGGCTCTGAATATAAGTGACAATCTATCCAAATCTCAATGTTATCATCTATAAAATGGAGCACTAATGCCAACCACATAAGGACACTGGGAGGAGTCAATCAGACAAGGAGCCTGGGGTGTCTGGCACAGTCCTTGGTGCATGGTGGGGTCACTGAATGGGAACTGGAATTCCTGTCACAGGGATGTAGATGGCTCCAGGGCCCACTAGCTGCCTTGTGGGCAGGAATCTGGGAATGGGGACAGGCTGGCGGTTTTTCCGGGCTTCTGCCTGCCCGAGTTAAGTTCAGTGGCCCGAGCAGAGCTGAGCACCCCGTCCCACTTCTGAGAGGCTCTTCTGCCGCTGTGCCGGCAGCAGCAGGAGCAGGGCAGGTGCCCGAGGGCATTACCTGGTAGTTGCACTCAGGGTCGAGGCAGTGGTAGTGCTCACGGTACTGGTAGGCGCAGTGGATATGGCCGCAGTGTTGACTGCCCGAGAACCTGCAGGGAGGAGGGAGGCTCAGACCCTTCTGGCTGGCGGCCCCAGGGAGGACCCTTCCAGGGGCCTTGGCCTGAGCAGCCGAGGAAACCTGTGCTGGAGTTCAGGGGGCCCTGGGCCCTGTGTGGGGATGTGGAGGGGCAGACGTGGTCTGCGCAGTGGCAGAGGCCGCAGAAGGCCAGGACAAGTGGTTGTGCCCATCAGGAAGCCTATAGCCATTGAGCTGCGAGTGCCAGGTGAGGCACAGAAGCCTGGCACCTGGGGCAAGCCGAACATCAGAGCAGAGGTGGGGAAGACACCTGGGCTGGGCTGGGCTGGGATGAGACGGTGAAAGCAGGGAAAAGGTGGCCCACCTGCCTTTTGTGCAGGTGTAGCTCACCTGACCCCCACCCAGCGCTGGGCCAGGGGCTGGGGACCCTGGCCGGGCCGGGCCAGCCCTCTGTTGCCCAGAGGTATTAAAGGGCTCTCTCTGTCCTGGGCTTTCCTGACACTTGAAACAGTGCAGAGTTATGAATTTTTAAAGCGCAGCATCTGTTTGGTTTCCCGTGGCAGGGAGCTCCCTCTCCAGCCAGCTCCGCAGCCTGGAGCCCCAGCTGCCTGGCCGCTGCCCACCTCCCAGAATACCCTGTGCCTTCTCCAGGCCCCGATGCTGCAGGGTGTGGTTCTCACAGCCTTGGGGGAATGCCACTCTGGGGAGAGCACACCATGACACCTGTGGAGAAGGTGGCAGGCTCAGCCTGCCCGCCCAGCCAGGATAGCATGAGGCTGCGGGAGAGTGAGAGGAAACCCCCTTGTAAGGGGGAGAACCACTTGCAAATAAATATTTAAGCTGAAGCTGCCAAAAGGGCCATCTGCTGAGGCACTAATAATAATGATAATAATAATAATAAAGAGAGCGGAGCAAAGCTAAAAAAACAGAGAGGGACAGGGAGGTAGAGACAGAGAAAGGGACGGGAAGAGCCTGGAAGATCAGCAGAAAGACAGCTGCCAGGGCGCGACCCCTGCCATGTGCTGCCCTATCAGGCACTAGCAGTCGGGGCCTGATTTGGGGGAATCTGTTCAGGCGAAGGTTCTTTACCGGCCAATCCCACTGCCTTAAGGATGTAAAGGGTCAGGTCTGGAGTCAGGTGGTGAGGGTCAAGGACTGGCCTGGGGGAGCACACTGAGGCCATAGCCTCTTCTCATCCGGAACTGTTCCACAGTGGCCCGCACCCACCCAAGGCTCCATGTGAGCTGAGGAGCAGGACCTTGCACTCACCTGTGGCGGGGCCCTGCCATCGGGCCCCTTCAGGTACCCTGTCCTGCCAGGGATACAAGCTACTTAAGGGCTTGCGGCCAGCATCACATCAAGATGGCGGGGCCTCTGAGATAGGGTGGAGGGCTGTCCCTTGGGGGAATTTGAGGGCAGGAGTGCGTGGGGATGGGCAGGCAGCAGGCACCTCGGCACTAGCGGTCAGATGGACGTATGGTCCCACCGTCCCCAGGCATTCCTGATGCCCCCCGCCAACCTTCTCTCCATGGCAGTCTCCTCCCCAGGGGCCTACCTGGCAATATATTTCTGGTAAATGTTTACATCTTCAGTGACAGCTGGTTTATCTGTGGGCAATCCGTTCCTGGCGAGAGACACACAGGGCACAGCCGATTAGCGGACAGGGGGTGGCCTCATGCCCCAGGAGCGTCGGGGGCGGTGGGGGCAGCTCCCTGCCCTGGGGCCCTGGCCCTTCTCTCCCTCGCTCTGTGCTGTTCTGAGGCACTCAGGGTGGGACTGAGAAAGTCCTTTGGCAGAAGTCTGGCACAGGTTCAATTAGCTCAACTCCAGCAAGGGCAGAACTGTCTTGAGCTGGCACAACATGGGTCCACCCTGGGCATGGGCCTGGCCTAGAGTCCAACTGGGCAGAGGCCTTGGAAGCTGGGGCATGGCCCCTCTTGCGCACTAGGAGTCAGGAAGCTGCTGGCTGAGGAGGGGTACCAGGTACCCCTGGGGGAGCCCCCACGGGAAGGGGCAAAAGCAGCACCAATCAAGTGTGGCTGGGAGGTCGGGAAAGCCTCCCTGGCTGCCGGAGGGCGGCTCCCTACATCTGCTCCCAGGTCTGTGGCCCTGTCTCCGTCTCCAGGAGAAGAGGGTCTCACTTAGCCCCACAAGATCTGTGACCATTTCACCATTGCCTAGGGGTTGGTGCTGAGTGTGCCCACACTCACCCCAGCCTCCTATCTTCTCTTGCTGCCTTCCCCATGGCCCAGGCTCTGGACCTGGGAGTCATGGCTGGGACTCCAGAAACCCCAACACAGAGTAGGGCTTTTCCAGCCGACCACACACCTGCACTTGGCTCTTGTGGTGGCAGGCAGGGAAAGCCCATCACAGGCAAATGGGGGTGACAGCAGCCCGTGGTATGTCTGTTAGCAGAAGACATGTGCATAAAGGCACCCTGTGTATAAGAGTGTGTGTGCGGTGTGCACAGCAAGATGTGTAGTGTGTGGGCCCATAACCTGGGTGTGAACGATCATGCAGGCGGAAAGGTCAGTGTGTATGTGTATGTGTGCACACATGTGTGGAAGCATGTGCGTGGAAATCCAAGCATGTATGGGCGTGGGTGTATAGGAGATGTGCATACGGTGTGAGTTGTGTCCACAAGCATGAGCTTCCAAGGCAGGCAGGGCAGTGGGCCTCCTGGCTACTCCAGCCCTGCTCAGGACTGGCATGGGGGTGGGGCGTGTCTTACTTGACAGTGGAGACGGTCCCCGTGGTGATGGAGTCTGTTTTGGAGAAGGTCGACTTCAGGTACTCAGGAGTGTTGAAGGGCAGGGAGGCAGGTGGCTCGGGCCCTGGCCCGGGAGCACTGGGAGCGCTGGGCACGCTGGCGAGGGGAGCAGGAGCCAGGCTGGGTGTGGGCGGAAGTTTGGCGGGGCCTGGCTTCTGGATGGCCCGGACGTCGTACTTGGAGGGGCGTCCCACTTTGCCTGTCTTGAAGGCGATGGCCCCGCCCATGTCGGGGCTGCCCTCCCCGGGCTTGAAGAGGTGCAGGTACTTGACGTTCTCCAGGTCGTACTTGGATGGCTTCTTGTAGGTGCTCCCGTTCTGAGGCCGCAGGCTCTCACCTGTCTTCAGTTTCTGGATGAAGAAGTCGTACTTGGAGGCACGGGCCACCAGGCCCTGCATGGGGACGCTGCTGTGTGATGGCAGGGGCAGGATGGTGGCCTTGGTCTCCAGGTGCGCTGTGCTGCTGGGCAGCCGCAGGCCAGGCAGGGGGCCCACCGCCTCCTTGCCCACCCGCTCCTCGGTCTTGGTGCCATGGGCCGGCCAGGAGAGCTGCTCGCCGGCCTTGAGCTTGCGGATGTACTCCTCGTACTTGGAGAAACGCGCCCGCTTGCTGAGGGCGTCCTCGGAGGCGGGCAGCATGGACGAGGTGGCCGCCTCGGGGGTGGGGCCTGCATGCAGCTTCTCGAAGCTGATCTTCCTGGCCAGCTCGTCCCTTGTGTTCTGGTCGTCGTAGCCAAACATGCCAAGGAACTCGGTCATGGTGGAGGCCGCATACTCCCGCAGCGAGGAGGCCTCTCCTACAGCAGGGAGGATGGGCGGTCACCTCTGGGAGGGAGCAGGGGAGCCAAGGGACAGGAGCCCACCCCCCAACCCTGGGAGCCCCCACCCAAAGAGGGAGGGGGCCGGCGTGGGGAGGGGCGGAGTGGGACATGAGCTATGGACATTTGGCTCACTTGTTAGGTTTTACGACTCTTAAATTAATTTGTTTAAAAAAAAAGTAATTAATACTGGGGTAAAATAAAACGAGTTCATCAATGCCAGGAAAATCAATTTCCTAAATGTTCTGGCCGATGGCTTTTCAGTACATTAAACAAAGTTTCATAAATGTCTCCGCTCTCTCGCCTTGGCCTAATATGAAAGAGAAGTCATTTTACTGGAAGTAAGGCCAGATTCCAACCTGCCTCTGGTGGGGGTGAGAACACGGGGCTGGGACAGGTAGCGGTGTGGGCCTATGGCTGACAGTCGGGGGACAGCATGGGGCTGAGCAACCCACAGTGTGAGGGGCTGGGGTGGGCCTGGCTGAGACTGCCTGGAGGACCCTCCCTGATCCCCACAAGTGGACACACAGGCCCCTTACCCTGGGAGGAGGAGGGCTCACCCCAAGCCTCCCCAGGACCTGGCCTCTTGGCCCCACCCAGACTCCAGACAGCGCTGAGGTGGGCAGAGACCCTGCCAAGTCCCTCCCACCCCAGCCAAGATTTATGATGGGAGAGTCCTTCAAACCTCCCCTGTCATTCTCTGGTCCCTTGTGCTCATGCACAAGGGTGGGCCACCCTGAGGACAGTCAGGGCCAGAGAGGCTGGCCCGCTGGCCCAGGGCAGCAGGCCCGAGTGTGACCCATCCACCTGCCCCACCTGTGTCCACTCCAGGGCACACTGAGAGCCCTGGAGCAGCCTCCCCATAGGGATGCATACGCACACACACTCACAATCAGGCTCATGCCCACACCTTCCCAATTCTACAGACACACACATGTACACAAGCAACCTGAACCCCACGCTTAGCTCCCCAAGACTGGTCTCAGGATGGCGGGGGGCCAGATGGTGCCATTCTGCCTGGGGTTTTTCTCTGGAGGTGCCCCTCCTTCCATACACCACCTCCCACCCCAGCAGACGTGTGACTCCCCAGCATACACTGAACACTGTCTGAACACCTACTATGTGCTCTGGCCTAAATCAGGTGGGTGCACACGGAGGGTGAGACCCACACAGGCCCCAGGAGAAATGCATGTTCTCTCTACTCGTGTCAGAGCCAGCACACCCGGACACACTCAGAGCGGCAGGACCCCAGGCTGGCGGTCCTAACAGCACAGCCAGGGGAAGGTGAGGCCAAAGAGAGACTCAGGATTCCAGCAGGGCAGGGGATGTGATGGGGGGTCTCCTCCCAACCCCCACCCCAACCTGCCAAGTCTGGTATTCTCAGACCACACCTGGAGGTTGTCTCATAGAGCAGGGCTGGGCAGTCCTAGGAAAACTGGGGCCCCACTAGGTGAGGAGAAGACAGTCATGGGTAGCACCTGGCACCTGGGGTGGGCAGTGACTCGAGGAGCCAACAGACAGCTATTCCCCTTGGGTGGGGGGGGCGGGCAGCAGCCAGTGGGCTGCTCTTCTGATCTCAAGCTACTCGGGGCTGAGGCCCAGCCCGGGAGGAGTGGGCTCTGGCTGCTAGATTCAGTGGCTCAGGGACCAGGGAAAGGGGCTAAAAATAGCTGGAGGCAGCTGAGCCCTCGCTATATATGGCAGAGAAACAGAAGGCTTTGAAGGGCAGGCGGCTTAGAGCAGGGAGGGGGCCAGGCAGGGGTCCTGTGGGCAGCCCACAGGCGCACATTCCTCAGTCCCAGGGCCCAGAGAAGGTGGCCCGAGGACCGAGCCCACAGTGGGTGGCTAGGGCTCCTGCTGGCTCTCTCCAGGGCCCAGGGCTGAGCAGGTCTTCCCAGGTGTCACACTGCAGTCCCACTGGGCCTCAAACCAGAGGGGTAAGGCCTGGGGCCATGAGGCCACTGGTATTTCCAGCCCTGCCTCCTGCCATCTTAGCTCGGCACTCCCCCAGAGGAGAGGAAGCAGGGGTCAGGAGTCCAGGGCAGAGCTGGGCATAGGAGGGGCTGGAGCACTGAAGGCACAGTGGCCCTTGCCCTTGTCCCTGTCCCTCCCATCTCCTCAGGCCCCGCACAATCACCTTGTGTCTGGGAACGGCAAGGGCTTTTCCTATCAGAGGAAACTGAAGGTCACACTTTTCCTCATTGATCTTGCAATGTTTGTTAATTACTCTGTCACTGATGTGGCGAAGGATAATTAAACAGCTCTGTTTATATCTTATATGCATAATTATGTGGCTGCACAGGGCTCCCCGTGCAGGGAGGAGATGCGCCCCTCACTGCAGGGGAGGCTTGGGCATCAGGCACAGGCCTGGGAAGGAGGCTGGGGAGCTGAGAAAAGACCCCAGACCCCGGGGCTCCAGTCCTAGGGGTGACCGCCCTCCCACCTCGAACCCCAGGTCCTCTCTCCCCGGAGCAGCAGTGAGTCTAAGGACAAGGAGACACTAGAAAAGCCGGGCCTCAGCCACCTCGTGGAAAAGAGGTCAGCCAGAGGACCGTGTCCGGGGCAGGTGGATGTAATGGGATATCCGGGCTGGGCCATCCTGTGGCCCGGTGCCTTGCCCGAGAGGTCCTGCTGAGGACAGCCGGGATCCCTGGGAAGGAGAGGGCAGGTGGTGAGACGGTGGGGAAGACTTCGGGGAGAACCAGGGAGGGTGGGAGAACAGGCCTATCCTAGAGCTTCTCAAAGAAAACTCCCTAAGAAAGAGCCTTTGCAGACAGCGAGCTCGTGGGGTTCATGGCGCTGTCACTCCCCAGACGCACGTCCTGTCTGGTACCACGCTCCTCCCTACGCAGGTGTGTGTCGACAGTTGTCTACACTGTCTGTCTGTCTGTCCATTCACCCCTCCATCCCTCCATCTGTTGCTTCCTGAAGACCTGTCATGTGTTGGGCAGCCCCCCGCCCCAGACCTGCTCACACACTTGGGAAGTTGCCTTCTCAGACCCTTCCCGTCTCACTCCTGGTGCTTCTCCCCCACCCCTGCCCAACCAGTCTCCCCGTTCCAGGCATTAGCTTGGTCCCAGCCCACCCTCCTCAGGAGTCCTCACGGGATTGGAATGAGGCGCCAGTATTTGGAGCAAGAATGAGGGACGTGGGCGTGTTCCGTGTACACACCTCACCCCGCCCTGCTAGGCCCCCTCACCAGGTTATGTCCCATCACACTTCAGACACCCACCTGAAGCCTGCTTGGCACTGGGGCCACTGTCGTCCTTGGAGGCCGCCCTGTCTGTGCTCTTCTCCCCTGCGCTGCCATCCTTGGGGAGCTCCTCGCCGTGGTCCTCCTCATCACTGCAGGCCTGGGGCTGCACCATGTAGACGCCCTCGGGCGGCAGCTCCAGGCCCTCGCGGGCGCTGCGCCCCAGCACAGGCGTGGGTGCCGGCTCCTCACTGTACTCCCCGTTGACCCACTTCTCGATCACCGCCCGCCTCTTGTCTTCTTCGCTGCGAGGGGCCCGGGCCACCCCTGACTCAGGGCCGCCGCGCTCTTTGTCCTGAGGCCTCAGTGGGCTGCCCTCGGTGTGGGAGCCAGCCTCCGCTCCCTTCTCCACGACCACCTGGCGGCTCAGCTTGGCGCAGATGGCGTTGAGCTTCAGGCCACCTTTGCGCTTCGCCGCCATCGCGGGCTTGCCTGTGGGCGGGTCGGTGCACCGGGTGCCTTCAGCTACAGGATGGAGACAGAGGTCAGAGGTGTGTGTGCCAGGCACGGCCCCCCACCTCAGCAGCCAGGGGCAGGGGCTCTGCCCCTGCATCCCCCAAGCCAGAGGCCTTCCCAATCACGGTCCTGTCCCACTGCCCTGACACTACCCAGGGCATGTTTGAACTCTCACTAGACGGTGAGCTCAGGGGGACCCAGCTTGCCCATCCCTCTATCCCAGAGCAGGGCACCAAGCCAGGCATGTACTAGGTGGTTCAAGAAATAGCTGGAAATGAACGAATGAATGAATGAATGAACGAATGAATGACTCTTCAAACACAAGGGGCAGCTTCTTCCCAGCACCTTGTTCCTGGAAGCATTTTCTACGCTTGTTTGGGCCCTAGAACACCATTCTAGAGGCAGGCCGGCCGTGCCCCAGTTAGTATGAAGGAGGCAGCGGGACCTCTGGCACACAAGGACACGGAGGCACACAGGCCATGTTGTGGGTGAGACGCTCACACGTGGAGGCAGGCTCTGTCACCTGCTAGCTTTGCACCACAACCAGCTCCTCAGCCTGCGTGCCCTCAGCTGAGGGCCAGGGAGCAAGCAGCCTGTGCCAGCTCTTGCCGTACTGTCCCAGCAGCACTGGCTGGCACCCATCCCCGCCTGAGCATCGCATCCCCAGCAGTTCCTGTGCCCAGTGCTCACCGAGAGCCTTGAGGTCTTTTCTCCAGCCATTCGGGGCCTCCCCGAAGGCCTTCACTTCTCCTTGTCAGGGGCCTCCTGGCTCCCTCACAGACACTCTCTTGTGTCCTCTGGCCATTTCCTATCACCTTCCCTTTCTCCAGGCCCTCTGAGGGGCACGCGTCCCTGCCGGAGCCCCTCACAGCCTTCTCCGCCTCGCCCAGCTCCTGCAGCCCTGGAAGGCCTGGCTGGTCCTGGGAAGCACACTTTCCAGTCCTGAGAAGCCGCAGATGGACTAGGTTGGGATTCCTCAAATCCCCAACGGGAAGCCCAGAAGCCACAGGCGCAGTGCCCAATCCCTGAACATGACAGCCCAACGTGAACGGCCCGAAACGCTGAGTGCTAGCTGCGTCCCTCACGGCTGCAGGGCGGGCCACGCAGGGGTCTGGGGGGGCACACGGCAAGCCCGCTCACCAACAGCCAGAGGCCTGCCACGAGGCCAACAAGGGCAGACACACACACACGTTTATGTGTGTATCTGTCTGTCCGTCCGTCCATCTGTCCATCCACCCATTTGGTGGGGCCAGGGTAGGGCGGTGCCCATGGCAGACAGCCTCAACTCACACGGACTCTGCACAGGGAGCCCTGTCGAACCTTCTCGATGGCAGGGCTCCCTCACGCGTCCTTCAGCAGAGGAGTAGGCACGTCCAAGTCTCCACATAGATCAAAAGGCTAAGTGAGGGCAGGGGCTCTGCTCCCAGGTCCACGGTCAGAGGGGGCTTCACGCTAATGGATCACACCCTAAAAACCCACACACCTGGAAGCCCACTGAGAGAGCCCCTGGAAGCCATAGACTGACAGGGATGGCCATACCTGTGCCTGCCAGGGGACCTCACTCCACAGGTAGACTTCGCTTGTACACATGGATAGTTGTCCCCGATATAGACAATGCCCAGTGACCCCAGATCCTGGCCTTGCAGCCAGCTGCCGGTGTCACTTGGCCCAGAGGGGGCCCAGTGATCCCAGCCCAGCCCAGCATCCGAGAAGGGTCTGCTCTGGCTCACTCCAATCCTCGCAGTCCTGGGGCCCTGGCTGTGCTGGGCCCCACCCTTGCCCAAGCCGGATGCCCACTCTACCCATGTTTGTCCTAGTCTCCAAGTCCGTGCTGCCGACACCCAAGTCTCCAAGCACCAACATGGGGCTCCTTCTCAAAGTTCAGTGATGGAACCCCTAGTTACACATCTCACCCAGCCTGCGGGGCAGCCGCCAGGCTCTGTGACACCAAGTTTTCTCCAGCAGGCCTATGGGGAACAGGCCTTATCTGGCCCCTTTTGTCCCCTGCCCTGGTGGGGAAGGGAAGGGTGGGGGTGGGAGAGCCTGCTCTATTTTTACTAGGAGGTAAGCAGCCAAGTGTGTATGGCAGACGGCGAATGAATCTATAAATATTTATCCCAAGGAAGAGGGAAGCAGAAGCTCCCAGGGCTGCACTTGCTGCTGGTGACACCCCCCCTCTGTGGGCCCCCACCCATCCTGGAGCCTCCTGGCAGTGGGGCCCACCCAGCCCAGCCCACCCTCTCCTGATCTCGGCTGTGTGCCTGGCTTGGTCCCTCCTGGGCCCCCACCAGCTGCGATGCAGCTGTGCACCCAGGGCTCACTCCCAGCCTGCAGGTCCCTGTGCTCCGCCTACGTCCCCTCCACCTGCCCTCCAGCTGCTGCTCTGCCCCAGCCCACCTGCCTTCCAGATGTTGCCCTCCCTCTGACTCCACTGCTGGTCCCAGGGGTGGAGGTGGAGAAGGCAGGCGTGAGGGCCAGGGGTGCAGGGCAGGAGGCAGAGGCCGGTCTTCCTCATCATAAGTGGGAGCGCGTGCGAGGCTGGGGTGGCGGACAGCGGGGTGTAAGGGCTGCGGTCCAAGTTGCCCGCCTGCCCGCCCCGCCTTCCATCCGCCCTGTGACCCTTTCTCCCCTCCCTATCCATCAGGGCCCTGGGACCTGCAGACTACCCCGCTCATGCACTGACCCCAGGCTCCTGTCCATGTAAACATTCCCTGACTTTCTTCCCTAAAATATAAACACCGTGGCCGGGCCTCAATGGGAGGAAGCCATCCGTCCCTGGCCCTGTCACTGCCCCTTTCATCTCCTTCCCGCCACCAGCCTGCCCGCTGCTCTATTTACACTGGACACTTCCTCTGGGAACAATACTGCCCAGGAGGCAGGCTTGGGCTGGAGGGTGGAAGGGGAGGGAACTCCCATGCCGCTTACCCAGGGATGAGCGCCCCAGCAGAGATGAGGGGCGGGGCAGCTGCAGGGGGCCGGCCAGGCCTGGGAACAGGAGCGGGCTGGTACCTGCACTCAGGCAGCGAGCCCAAGGGCTCTCCCGGCCTCCAGCCTCTGGCCCAGTGGCTCTGGGCCGGCTAGGGTGAGCCCTGGGAGGTGGCACAGCACCATGGTTATGGCCTGGCCTCTGGTGTCAGGCAGTTGTGAGTTCATGCCTGGCTCTTCCCCTTGCTAGCTCCGGGCCCTGGGCAAGCTTTCTCCCTGTGAAAGGGTTACAGGACTGTAAGGTGAGAGAGTGCCTATTGGTGCCAAGCCCCGGGCCTGGCAAGCAAGGACCTGGGAAAAGGCAGCTGAGCCCTGGGAGGGGTCAGACTGGCAAGTGTGGTGCCACATCTAGGCATGAGGTCCTAAAGCCAGGAAACCTTACCTGGCCAGAAAAGGTAGGGGAGAAAAGAGAGGCTGGAGGGCTGGGCTGGGGGCAGGCTGCCCTCTCAGCAACAAATAGCCCCTCCTCGGCTCCCAGGGTCTGAACCTTCCCTCCCAGGGCTCCAAACTCAACAAGCTCCCTAGCAGGCAGCTCTCCCCTCCGACCTGAGCAGATCCTGCTCAGGGTGGAGAATAGGAGGGACAAGACTGGACTGTCCACGCACGTTTTCGGGCACTATCTCATGATGCCTCATAATGAGCCAGTGCAGCAGGTGCTGTCATTGTCCCATTTGATAGGGGAGGAAACTGATCCTGGAGCCTGAGTTCACGGAGACAGGGGCTCAGACAGGTGCTGGCCACCATGATGTCCCATTAAGGCTCCTGGGAGGGCTCTAGGAAGTCCCCGGCCTCCCCACCCATCTCCTCCTCACCCCGGCTCCTGGTTCCCATAACACAGAGCCTCCTAAAGTGTTAACTGCAATGGGTAAAATGGTGCAGCAGATTGCTACAATAAATAATTTACTGATATTTATAAATATTCAAATCAGCCAGCTTCAGAAATCGAATGAAGGGAGGGCCCTGGGAGAAGGGGCCTGTTATGGCAGGAATCTCATCATTCCCTCCAAAGGCTGGGAAGGCCAGAGCTCCTGCCAGTTCTGAGGGGGAAAGGGGGGCTCCTGTAGCTGCACCTGGGGCCCTCATCTCTGATCTCTGGGGACTAAGGGGTTGGGGTGGCTGGAACAGTTCCATCTCCTCACCTGGGCAGGGCCAACCCCCGCTCCCCTGCCCTGGGCTCAAGGGGACCAGAGGTTCCAGTGCCCACGGCACAGGTCTCGGAGTTGCTTGTCCTGCCTTGTGGGGGGCAGTCCCCAGGGCCAGGCAGCCCTGGCAGCCCTTCCCCACCCGTGAGTAATGTGTTTCGAGGCCGGGCGGCCTGTCAGCTACCAGGCACCGGGTGCTTTATGGGCTCTGCCTGGTGCCTCTGAACTCCCTGGTAGGAAATAAAGTTCTCCCTGCACGTCCCTTCTAAACATTTCACTCAGTGGAAACGGTGTTTAAGAAAAATGAGGACATATTTCTTCCTAAGGATGCAGTGTCCCCTTTGGGCGGCCTAATGCCCGCTGTATATCAGGAGGTGGTAAGGCAGGGGCCAGGCACCCATCCCCTGGGGTGGGGGTGGTTCAGGGCCCACCTGCCTGCTGCCAGGCAGCTCGGGACCACGGGCACTGCTGACCCAGTCTGGTGGCTGCCCTGGTCCACACCGCCTAGAGCAATACAGTGGCTGGCATCCTCTGAACACCTCCCTGGTGTGGAGGACAACGCTGGACACTTCACAGCGTCACCTCAGTGATCCACCAACCTCCCCACGTGGCCATTGTCCTGTCCCCGTTTCCAGATGAGGAAGCAGAGCCCGGCGAGGCTGGTCACTGCCTACGGTCACCTAGTGTCAGAGCTGGAGCTGGACCACTACTAACCTCAGATGTCCAAGGTCACGGTCTGAGATCCCCCCACACACACCTCCCACAGCCTCCCATCCAGGAGGCAGCAACGTCGGAGCCTCTACCCTGCCACCCCTAAGAACTTGAACGTGACAGGCCACAGTCCCAGTGTTCGGATGCTGTGCCTGTGTTCATTCAACACACTCTCTGAGCACCTTCTACAGGTCAGACCCTGAGCTGAATCCTAAGGGTGTGATGTGAGCAAGACAGGCTGTCCTGTCCCTGAGTTATGGACAATTCTACTTAGATGAGGGGGCAGACGTTTCGGTCACTACAAGCAAAATCACTATGGTGAAAAGTTTAGGTGCCACAGGCGCCATGAGTGTAGGAAGCAAGGAAGGGTTTCTAGAGATATCTGCACCCCCACAAGCTCCCTCGCTGGCTCCATCATCCCTCTCACCTCTGTGACCCCCCCTCCCCCAGACAGGACCTGTCCCAAAGGAGAGGGCGGTCCCCTCTTGGGCCCAAACCCACCCCCAGCTTGGAACAGAAGGGCCGCCCAGTTTTTGCGGAGGGGTGGGGGGGCAGTGGCCACTGCTCCCTGAGGGCTCTCAGCCAGGTCCCTTGGTCCCCAACAGTTCTAAGCTGGGGGGGGGGCGGCTGCTAGGCTCCACTTGCCCCGCTTTGTTTATTTATTTATTATGATTTTTTAGTCCAGTTAAAAGGTTTACTATCCAGACGCGTCTAAGTGGCCTCACTTAGCGTAAGTAACTCTATAAATCAGGGGAACTGTTAGCATCCACCGCACAGGCTGGCTATCAATCTCCCCCAGGTCACAGCCAAACAGGAAGGGGAGAAAAAAAGAGTTACCACCCAGGGGAGATTTAAAACACACACGGCGCACACACAGGCCGTGCGCGCGCACGCACACACTCAGGCGTCTCTGTTTGTACAGTCATTACATTCACACGTGCACATGCAGAGCGGCCCGGAAACTGGCAATGCTGCGTGTGGTCACCATAACAGAGCACAAATGGGCTCCTGCAGCCAGAAGGGGAGACAGAACCTGAGGGAGGAGAGCCTCCGGGTGTGTGTGTGTGGGGGGGGGGAAGGACCCCAGGGCCTGGCTCTCAGGGTCCGAGCTGCCCTGCCCAAGCAAGTGACTCTGAAGGGCTGCGGAGGGGCTCTGGTCCCCTTCCCTCTCTGTGGCTCCTGCCTCTGCCAAGCCCAAAGGAACCAAGCTTTCCCCTCTTGTGTGCCCAAGGTAAGCACTCAGCAGGGAGGTGGGGCCCAAGGAAAGGGCCCGGGAGGCCGTCAGCTGCAGGCCACTGCAATGGGGCTTGTTGCTGTCCCAGGTCCTTGTCCACTGTGGCCGGGCACACCCCAGACACGGCACAGGACTCAGGAAGGGCATCACTGTCCAGAGGAGTGATTGGCGGCTATGCGGAGAACTCGAGGGTGCCAAGGCGAGCCGAGCGCCTGGAGCAACCGTTCCACAGCAGCCTCAGGAATGCCCTGCCTTTTTCCTTGGGGAGGTGTGCGGGGGTGCGCACAGAGCTTGGACTCAGGCTCTGTCCTCCCCCCAGAGGGGCTGCAGACCTAGAGGACCCCAGTAGGAACTGGAGTGGGGAGGCCACTCCAGGGTGGGCACCCCTCGGCCTTTCCTGGCATCCCTTCTGGGCCCCCAAGGCAAGGCGAGGCAGCCCGAGGATGGAAGACCCCAGGCCCACCTCCTTTCACACCTCGCCCCAGAGGCCCCCCTGGCTCACCCCCCAGCCAGCCTGCCTGCCCGCTGCATCTCCCCATGAACTCTATTTCTCTTTCCTCTCTGAAAACAACTGAGCTGTAAATACTGTTTAACCTTCTCCCCCCCTCCCCCCCACCCCCTCCCCTCTGCACTATAAAAACACAAATATGCCATAACTCAGCCTGCCCGGCCGCCCAGCCTCCAACATGCCCCGCGCCCGGGCCTCTCAGGAAGGTCATTACAAACGACTTTCCGATTCACTGCTCCTGAAATAATTTTGTGTATTAAAACCTGAATCTGCACTTTCTGGGGCCGAAAGCCTCGCTTAATTATGGCGGGTGTCCTTGGGACGGACAGTGATCCTTCACTCGCCAGCCCGTGCTCCAGCCCTCCACCCGCCAGCCCGCCCCCCTCCCTGGGCCCAATCTGTTTTCAAAGTGTGTCTGTCCTTTATTAAATTGTTTTCTTTTCCACATTATCAGTTGCCATGGAGACCTCATCTCTCGGATTATTTGAATTTCATTATATCTATTGATTTGGGAGCATTTCATCTTTTTTATTGTTTTTCTGTCAATTTTCAAAACGAATAACCATCTAATTTGCGTCAGTGCTGATTATGTTTGTCCCTCAATAGAGGTCGGCAGCTGCGCTGGGGAAACAAATCAATGAAAAACCATCATAAAACTCCCCACTCCAGTCTCCAGGATGTGTGGGTGACATTCCACGCCTGCGAGAGACACACTCATCAGCTCCAAGTTCGGCTACGGTGGCGGCCGCTGCACGTCCGCCTCCTCCGGCCTTAATATTTAATTTCGCGATTTGGGGCATTATTAGTGATGTTTTTATTAGTGCGTGTGCATGTGAGTGTTTCGTAGTGGGCTGGTTGTTTTGTTAATTTGTGGGTGAGGCAGGGAAACCCCCGAGGAGGGCAGGGCGGTCGGCACTGGGGGTGCGGTGGAAGTAGAGAAAAGGGGGGAAGCTGCGAGGAGCTGACGGAGGACCCTGATGAGGGGCTGGAAAAGGGGGGATGCAGAAGAGGGACTGAGCGAAGGGGAGG